AGACCTTCAAAACAGAAAGAAAAAACTTATCAAACAAGTGGAAGCAAGCTCATACGAGACCGCACACGCGCCTACACACACACTCATGCCCTTACCGCTCTCTCTCTCTCTCTCTCTCTCTCTCTCTCTCTCTCTCTCTCTCTCTGTGTGTGTCTGTGTGTGGCAGACCGCCAAGCCCGCTGATTCTAATCCGACGGCACCTGGTCGTCGATCCGTCTTCACGCGAATAGAACGCCCGGTCCTCATAGAGGCTGTAGTTGGGGCCAGTCACCGTCTAGATACACAGCGACAATGACCGGGCGTTCTATTCGGGTGAAGACGGTAGTCGCGAGATGAGTTTGGAATCGGTTCTAATGACGAGCAATAATCCACAAAACACATTCAGAAAGCTCCAACTGGTCTGATATATATGAACGCGATTTGTGGTTTCAGCGATGAATGCGAACGAAGATCCCGTCCAGGTACGCACCTGAATGTGAAGAATGCAGTCCCTGCTGTAGACCACATCAAAATGGTCTTCTGGAAACTGCCGCGTCGTGCAATCTGCAACCTCGAACTCCACAGCGCACTTCAGCCCAATGGCTCGCTCAAGGGCGATCGTAATCTGGACAGAGGATTGGAGAGGAGAGGAGAGGAGAGGAGAGGAGAGGAGAGGAGAGGAGGGGAGAAAAGGAACGGGAAGGGAGGAGGAGGAGGAGGAGGAGGTGAACATACAGAAGAGGAGAGGGGAGGGATAATAAATATCAATCGATAAATAATATTAAATATGTTGTGCAATCGAGATCTCATACGATCCGAAGTTTCTCTGAGGCGACTGGACTCTTCTCGATTACTACAAAACCCATTTTGAAAAACCTTATGTATATACGTATATACATATATATCGTCACAAACAGAATCGTCATATATATCGATCGACTTGGATTTCAATGGGATAAGAGAAGATAATATATGTATATATCGTCACAAACAGTATATATATATTGTCACACAATTTCAGAGCGCAAATGCGAAAAAAAAGGAAGAAAAAAAGGAAGAAAAACAGGAAAAACTTAATTCATTTTTAATATTCTTCTTTCTTACAACTCCCCCTGTTCAGAACCTCTTGCGTACAAGGCCGCCCACGTGGACGTAGGTTGAGCGGCGGCTGTACATATATATATATATATTGTCACAAAGACGCAAAAGCGGAAAAAACAAAGAAAATCAATTCATTTTTTATCTTCTTACTTACAACTCCCCCTGTTCAATACATATCGTCACAAAGTTGTCAGAGCGCAAAAGCGAAAAAAAAAAAAAAAAAAAAAAAGGAAACAAGAAAGAAATCAATTCATTTTTTGTCTTCTTTCTTACAAGACTCCCCCTGTTCAAAACCTCTTGCGTACAAGGCCGCCCACGTAGGACCTGGTGTAGGTTGAGCGGCGGCTGCCCCCGCCCCCGTCCAATCGAATCCAATCCAATCCAATCGAATCCAATCGAATCCAATCCAGTTTAGCCGATTGAGGAGCCGATTGAGGAGGACGAAGAGGCGGGGGGGAGCTAATGAATGAAAGAATGAACGACTGAATTCATGAACCCTGTGTGTGTGTGTGTGTGTGAGAGAGAGAGAGAGAGAGAGAGAGAGAGAGAGAGATAGAGAGAGAGAGAGAGAGTGTGTGTGTGTGTGTGTGTGTGTGTGTGTGTGTGTGTGTGTGTGTGTGTGTGTGTGTGTTCGTTTTTTTTTTTTCTTCTATAAATTGATCCGATGTTAAATGAAATGCAACACTAACCATATTCATGGAAAGATCGATGCCAAGAACCTCCGCATCGAATTCCTCGGCCATGTAGAAGTCTCCGCCGCCAATTCCACAACCGACATCGAGGACCTTGTGCCCAGGCTTCAGATCCAGCATCGCCACAAACTCCTTTGTCGTTTCTGGAGCAAAAAAAAAAAGAAAAAAAAAAAAACCGGCCATTGCGATTATTAATGAAATCAGTCAAATGCAGTAGTTACATGGTGGAACTAGAATTTAGAAAAGAAATTTCAAGATTACGTGGGAACTTGTATTTCTTTTTTTTTTTTGGTTCAAAGTTCTTGCGCATTTTCTAGGGGCCGAGTGCAGCCAAGCAACAAATCCAATCCAATCCAATCCAATCTAAGCCGAAAGAAACCCCACTCCCCCTTTTCCCCCCCTCTCCTTCTCCGTCCCCGAGAAAAACAACCCCCCCCCCAAAAAAGAAAGAACAGAAAAAAAAAAGGAAAAAGAAAAAGACAGCCGAGG